ATGGATTGCTAAACAGATGGCACAGATACGTCCGTAGCAGGGACACAAGAGCTGGTTTAAATATACAAACCTTCAGTATCATCAAAATGAAATCTTGATCAGATACTCTGGTGTAATGGTAAAATGGAAAAACAAACAAAAGTGGCCTGGTAATCGCCTTAGCTTTTTCATAAATATTTAAAACTCTGATAAATGGCAGCCGTTTTTCTTGTTGGTGAAGCGCTTTTGGTATTCTGGTTTGGTTGTCTGTACATGTTTTATGCCCACAACGACACATTTTTATCATTTTTGGGCCGAGCTGTCTCGGTCTTCTCTGTCAGGGCCAACCTGAGGCTGAGTAATATATGCACGGGGGTGGTTGGTGGGTGCTCTGGTGTGGTTTGCCCCTTCCTCCCTATCAAACATCTATGGTCCAGATCTCTCCCTTTTTTGTGTTTGTTTCTCTCTCGTAACACCTCTAATCCTCGGCACTTATATGATCATATTATGTTGCAAGTACTGTAAAATTCGTTCTAAAACAAAAACTGATATACGTTCAGACAAATGACCGACGTCAAATGGCGAATGGTTTGCACGCACACGTATGAGTTCAGTTTCCATGTGGGGAAGTCATCTTACTGATTCTAATCTCTGTCTGTCTGTTGGGATGTTGTATACCACTCAATCGTACATGGCTCGGACTACCAGAGTTGAAGTAGCCCGCCGCCTAAATGATCTAAATCATGCCCATGTGGCCAAAAACCATTTATAATAATTGCAATGAGTCACATACAGACAAAAGGCACACACAAACAGAGAGACAAACAGACAGAGAGACTGACATCAGACAGACAGACAGACAGACAGACAGACAGACAGACAGACAGACAGACGGACAGACAGACAGACAGACGGACAGACAGACAGACTGACAGATACACAGTCAGACAGACAGTCAGACAGACAGACAATGTTTGTACTCACAGTGGTGTGTCTGACAATCCACATGCCTCTGCAGACATCCCCAGATGATGAAGAAGACGACGATGTTGACGAGGAAGGCGTGGCTTATAATGCGAGCCCCGCGATTGGTCCAAGCCACAACGACGCATGACGACATGGTGCTCTGACCTACATCTGGTCCTCCACAGATGGCGCCACGGCTGTGACGTCACGTCCAGTATACGTGCATCCAAATCATAGAATCATGACGTCAAGAATAGTCATTTTCTCACACACTGCCAAAATTCATTCACTTTGATGTTGTTTTCATTTTAGTTGCAGATGCTATGGTCTTTATACTTAAATTGACGTCACAATTGAATTTTGGCGAGGAAAGGAATTGTTTGAAAATGTACACTTCTGAGGAATATGGCAACTTTTACTGCTTGTCCGCAAAGAAGTTTAAATATTTCTTTGGAGTTTCTGTCTGGTGTTTGAGACGGAGGAAGCACTGTCTGACACTAGAAGAGCACAGATGAAGTGGCCCAACGAGATGCCTTGTCAGAAAAAAATATTTTTTGTTTCTTTGAGCTTTGAGTCGTAGGGAGACCTCCAGAAGACTTTTTCCTGAATCTGAGGAAGATCAAATTATGCTTGTGTCAATGCTTATGTTATTCAAGCTAAGAAACGTACTTTTGTGAAAGACCAATGATGACCAGGCATACAATGGAAAGCTATAACACAGACAGTAAAGCAAATTTAATGACAACTGAAAAGGACAATAAGAAGCATCACAAAATAATAGGAGAAGAAATCCAGCATTCTGTAAAGTAACTTTATAGAATATTTTGAAGTCACCTCAAGTAATAAGGTAATAAAAAACAAAAAATCAAACAAAAAAACAAACAAGAAATAAAACAAGCAGACAACGTTAAGACGAAGTGCTTTTGACATTGCATCTTATTTTTTTTATAGACCATGAACTGTTCACCATGGAATATGGAAGTAACGTAGGTGACAAGGTACTATAAGGTATCGGACAAAAGGTGGGAGGGGTAGGAATAAAGGGGGGGGGGTGGACAAGTGGTCCAAGGTCCAAAA